ACAAAACAGGGACAGCAAATGTAGACCTAAAGTACAAGCATAACCACTGCAAGTGTTAAGACAAATCTACTAATAGCTTGTGCACAGATACCCACCCACAGGATAAATGTGGACGTTTGGCACCTGTAGAATGTCCTTGGACTATATTCCTGAAGCCTTGAAGGAATATAATCTTTGCAGCTTCAAATCCCTCCATACCATGTTAGATCGAGTGCAGAATCTCTTAAATAATTTACACTTTTACATGTAATAGCTCTCCTACTAGAACTGGAAATTCAAACATTCCAGATTTTAACCTCATGTTGTCAGTGTGACATGTCTTCTCCAGCTTATCAATGCATCCATGTTTCCAAAGAGCTCATCATGGGAGCGATGTGGCAAATATAAACATGCACAGTAGCATCTGGATGCAATCTTTGAACATCACCTTGCATAGGTCTGGCTCCCCCAGAGTGCAAAGGTGACTTGCGGAAGGCAGCAAGCATCACTCTCTCCTAGAGAGAGGAGAACTAAGCTGCAGGAGGGATACGTAACTGTGCTGAACAGACCTCTAGTCTAACTCTGCTCCCATGCCCTATTCATTAGGCAGCACTGGCATGTGCCTTGCAAACCACTAACCCAAAGCAATACAGACTATTATAGCTCCAAACTTAACTGCTAAGCATGGTGCCAACTTTGCTTTTTTGTTTTGGCACTAGCTGCCATCCCTTTATTTCTGTGCGTAACACAGACTGGCTAAGCCTCTGCCCGCCAGGCCTGTGAAGAAGCTTGTAAGCCAGTGTTCCCCAAAAGCTTAAGACTAAAGGATTTATGAGGGAGCTGACAAGAGAAGTGTCAGGACATCATTAGCTCAGTTACTTAAAATGCTGAAGCATTCGCAAACTATCCCATTTGCCGTGCCCTTCCAGCTGTTGGGCCCTCAGGCCTGGATCAGTTGGAGTCCAAGGAAGCACCTCAGCTAGCAGAGCTGTTGATTTTGAATAATACCCCCAAGTCACATTTAGACCACTGCCATGAGATTAAAATGCCTGAACAGGATTCATTTGGTTTTGGCTCTCTTTGACATCTCTTGACAGTAAGAGCAGGTATCTATAGAGCTGCTGTAAAATTCACTTGCAGAGTCAAGTCCCAAACTTGTCCCTGACAAAGCACTGCTTTGTGCACAAACCCACTGGGGCATGCCTGGCTAGGTGGCCCTACCCTGCAAGTGTCACCCCCCCCTTACTGTCAGAAGGGTTAATTATGACCAATTGTGCTCAGCACTGGAACATCAAGACTCCCTCCTAATTTGCTCCAAAATCTTTCAACCACAGATAAATTACTCCTCCTTTCCAGTTAGCCGCTGAATCCTCTGGTTACTGTGTCCCTTTGCTGCACAGAAGAGTACTGGTACTTATCACTGGCAGCTGCTTTAGGAAGAAACTGCAGGGACACCTACAGTCCAGACCAGAGAATGCAGCCATATACAAGTGACCATCTGCTACAGGAAAAAAAAATAGTATGTAGCTGCTTTGGAGACGGAAAGCCCTGTGTTCCTTACCTTCTTCATCTGAAATTTGATGGTAGATTTGACCTCATCAACCTTGGCCACCAGGTTCTCATTGTGAGTGAGGAGAGAAGGGAATTTGCCAGCTTTGTTCAGACCTGGACCCAGAATGCGAGGAATCTGCTTGATCAAGGACTCCGAAGCCAGGAAGGCATCATACTTCTTAGCTGCAAGGAGAGAAGGAATGTAGGTAAGGCAGTACTCAAGCTCTTGCACAGAGCTGGAGCTCTCAGCTCAACCGAAACCATACTGCTTCCCTTCCCCTCAAAAAACACCTTTAAGCATTTCCAGAATGCTGCCTGCCTCTAAGCTGTTTTCCTTAATACTGTATTAGAAGTCACTTCTGTCACAACAGCCCTGTCTGCCAGGACCAAGCTTCACACCTTGCCAGCAATCCTATGCACTTACTGAATGTACTTTATTTCCCTGGAGCTGGTATTTGCTGAACTGTGTATAAAGCTCAACTCTGAGACCTACCAGGAGCCCTGTAGCATATTCTGTGCATGTGTGGATAAGTAACATCATATATTTGAGAATGGCTTAGCTTACAGCAGTGGTATCCTCTGTCAAATCGGTGCACTTCATAATCACTTATGGTTCCATGACTAATTCTGGATTCAGTGGGAAGCTTTCATGGTCTATGTGAGATGTGTATCAAAGTGACTTAATTTGCAGGGAGGGAATGATTCTTTCTATTACCAAGTAAAAATAAGCAAATTCCAGTCTGTTCATTCAAGTACTGCAGGCCTAAATCAAACTGAAGGTTTGCTTCTAGTTTTCCTTGGCCTTTGCTGTGCTCTGACTCTCTCTGATCGGGAGAATAAAGAACATCCAAGAACATCTTAGATGTTCTTAGATGAACATCTTCCTGGGAGAAAGAAACAATTTTCCTTTAGCTCCCCTTCCTGGAAAGGGCAATCAACATTCCCTGCATCCCTGAAGCACTGTCCTGTCAGTCAGCTCTGTCAGACCTTTTCAACCAGGTTGCTGGCTCTTCTGGGTAGTTTCTATGCAGATTTCTGTACTTCAGGCTGACTATGTTTTTTCTCTTTCTTGCAGTTAACCCTGACATGGAAATCTGAGTATGGGGAACAACTGTACTGCATGCCCAGCCCCCTTCCCGGCCAAGTTAACCAGCATGTTTCAAGAACCCACTTCATGCGCCCCCACTCACCCAGCTTCTTCACCAGTTTCTTGTTTTTGTTGAGTTTCTTCAGAGCCTCTATGTCCATGTGAGGGATGTCAACTGCTTTGGCCTCATCACAGTGCTGCTGGTCCCCCAGCAGGCAGACTGAGAACTTGGGCCGTGGAGTCGACTTCAGCCTGGAAAGGGGAGAAGGTCTGAATTATTCTGGTCTGTCAGTGTCACATACACCTCTAAGGGAGCTGTCACAGAGATACCTTACCACAGTGCCTGGCAATCTTCCTCCACAGCTTCTAACCTGCCTTCTCCAGCAGGTCGGTGGGGTCAGCACAGCAGCCTTCCCGCACCTCCCCTCATGTTTTAAGACCCAGGGTAGGGGTCCGTCCAGTCGCACCCACTCAGGAGGGGTGGTCTGAACTACCCAACTGCTGCCCCACAGCTCGGCAGGCCCCAGCGGCAGAGGGGCACAGGCTGAAGGCTGGGTGGGAGCTAGAGGATGCCGAACCTGACAGTGCCAGAGAAACGCTTGTCTTTCTGCGGGTCATAGTTCTTCAGGCTGATCTGCAGCTCCACAGTCTCCACAAACCTGAGGGATGGGAAAGAAAAGCAGCTCCCGTCAGGGCCTGGCCGAGCTGGGAGCAGGAGCCCAGACAAATGCCAGGGCCACGAGTGCACCGGGTGATTCTGCGGGGCAGGGCTCTTACTTGCGCCGCTTGGTCTTGCTCCCTTGCAGCACCTCCTTCACCGCCTCGTACAGGGTGTCGCGGGAGACTTTGCTGCTGCGGGGGGGAAAGACGAGCCGGGCTCAGGCGCCGGGAGGGAGGCAGGGTCGGGCCTGGCGGGGGGGGGGCGGCG